TGAAGGCACAGTATCACACAGTGAATGACAGAGACCGGCAGTAGAGGGCGCTGTTATACAAGCGTCTGCCTTCAGAACATTCAGTCTTCACATGAAGAACAGAATGAATCACAAAACATCAGGCCAGAAACCTATTTTTTAAAATTACATCAGGTGTTTACATCGATCAGAAGATTCACAAATGTGGTTTATAAGCCACCGTTCCATAATAATGCCATGAAGAGATGTAGATTAATTGTCTTTGCTTAGAATATATTTTGTAACGACAACAAAAAACGAATAAATTTTTGTAAGAGCGTTTCGGAATTACATAAAAGAAACTAAGAGTTCCTATTAAAGATGGAGAAATGTAATGCTTTAGATGCTTTTATTGGTACTATCAATCTATCTGTCGGTCTATCTGTCTGTCATCTATCTGTCTCTCTCTCTGTCTGTCATCTATCTGTCTCTCTCTGTCTGTCATCTATCTGTCTCTCTCTCTGTCTGTCTGTCATCTATCTGTCTCTCTCTGTCTGTCATCTATCTGTCTCTCTCTCTGTCTGTCTGTCATCTATCTCTCTCTCTGTCTGTCTTTGTGTCTGTCTGTCTCTATCTGTCTGTCTTTGTGTCTGTATGTCTATCTGTCTCTCTGTCTGTGTGTCTGTCTGTTTGTCTCTCTGTCCGTCTTTGTGTCTGTCTCTCTGTCTTTGTGTCTGTCTCTCTGTCTTTGTGTCTGTCTGCCATCTTTCTGTCTGTCTGTCTGAACTTCCCATTTACTCCTTTTCCCATTTAGAGATTTATGACGCAACAAGAAGCGCTTTAACAAAGAGAATTTTTATTCAATACATACCGTTTAAGGAACGCACAATAAATACACATTATACTAGATCATTCATAAGAAATACTGAAAACAGAAGGAGAACTGCGATTCTAACTGGTAACATGATATGACGACTCCTGTCTGCTGCCAGTTCATCCGGTCCCGCTGTAGTACAGGCTTCAGTGACATTACATCTGTACACGTGTCTTTCATATCCCATAATGCATCAAAGACTGAGGTCTGTTGTACCAGCACTGTGTGTGTAAGTCAAGAGGTGAAGTAAAGACAAATCTGGACCAATGTCCAGACAATGAATCATAGAAGGCAAAAACACAGAGTGAATTTGCTTTCGTAGAATCTGAAACGATGGCAAAAATGAATTAGAAAATGAAGGCATTCGCTTTTAAGTAAACCATTGGTTACTTAAGCCAAGGCAGTGATCCAATGCTGCTGCCCAGATTACCATCGCAACATTCAGTATTTTCAGTCTTTTGAAAACACATCAAATCTCTTTATTTGTTTTATCTTTAAAGGCGAAGTATGTCATTTCTGCACCACTGGCAGTGGCAGCCACGAGTGTTTTTTTAGGATGTTTTGGGTGGATGCTCAAAATTGTGAAATTGTTCAATATTATGACAAGTCTTAAATATGACTTTAAAAGTAAAAAGTTACAAAATTCTGAGGTATAAAGTCATAATTGTGACAAAATTGTGACAAAAAAGTCGATGAAAGTCAGAATTATGAGATGAAAAAAGTCCAAATGATGACAATTATGACATCCAAAGACAAAATTGACAAAAAGTAAAAATGATTAGATAAACAGTTGGAATTTGGCGATAAAAAGTCATAATTATTACAAGAAGTTGAAATTGTCAGCAATTATGATGTCAAAAGGGGAAAGTGACAAAAAGTCAAAATTATGACTTTTTACGGCAATTTATGACTTGTAGTCATAATAACGACTATATTATCATTTTGACTGTGTCATAGTTTTGATTATTTTTGTATCATATTGATGAGTTAGTATGTCATAATTTTGACTTTATCTCATATTTATGACTTGGTATGTAATAATTATGACTGTCACAATTATGATTTTTAAACTTTTAGTCATAATTTAAAGTTTTTATATCAAAATTATGACATTTTTATATCATATTTATTTCAAAGATTTCATATTTATGAAAAGTATGTTAATATTATGTGCCAAAAATGAGTTTCCATACGGAACGGTAATTGCACACCACTCAAAGCAAAGCATTTTGAGGTATATTTCATGTTTGTAGCATAAAGAGTTAAATGTCCTACTTGTAGTTCTACATGTTAAAGCTGGGATACAAGTTTTAAACGACACACTTCACCTTTAAGGATCTGGTTATTTCATTACCGCCCCACGAGGTGAGGTCACGCTACAATGTTGATGACATAAAAGGCATTTGATTGTCCTGTCTTGAGCTTATTGAGGGACATTCTCCTGGACAATGACTCTCTTTCATCAAGAGGATAAACAAACTGACAGATGCATCATAAGGTTTGTGCGTTAAAAACAGCTTCATCTCAACTCGTCAGTATTTTAAGGTAATATTTCACACAAAAATGATTATTCTGTGATTATTTAAACACCCTCATGTCATAGCATGAAGATTTTTCTCTTTTTTTTTAGGAGACAAAATGACAGCATTCGAGTTGGGAATGACCTGGATGAGGGTGAGTACATAATGACAGAATGTTTATTTTTGAGTGAACTTTCCCTTTAACACGGGAGGAAATCTGATGTGAAATAAATTCACTCCTTTCAATTAACATTAGCTTTCATGTGTGGCATTATCACACTGTAAACTATTGCACTTAACAAATTACTCTTCAGAATGATTTATTCAGTCAAAGCTGATTTTTAAATTAACCATGACAAGAATTATTCTATTTTTTCCTCTCAAACTCAAAAGTTATTGAGAGAATATTTTCACATCATGCCATAAAATATTTATCACTATAAATTGAGAAAAATCACCTTCCTGGCCTCCATCCATTCAATGCTTTCAGTTAATAACCATGACAAGAATTATTCTATTTTTTCCTCTCAAAATCTTAAACTAAGTTATTGAGAGAATATTTTCACATCATGCCATAAAATATTTATCACTATAAATTGAGAAAAATCACCTTCCTGGCCTCCATCCATTCAATGCTTTCAGTTATGCAATAAATGTAAAGTATTACCTTGTACAAACCTAATATGAGTTAATTTGTATTCTAGACTTCGTCATTCAAACACTTTTAAAAATCATCTTCGCCTGACAGAAATGCTTCGTTTGCAGTAACTTGATGCATTTCAAAGTGCATTTCATCAGAAATCCCTGTATAATCCCAAAGATAATTTAAGACTTTAGTATCTCAGAGTTTCGTAAGACAAAGAGTCTGATCATTTTCATTATGGTAATCTGGTTTAAAAAGTTAAATCTGTTATCTAACTACCTTCTGTCTACTATCTGCCATTTTAAACAAAAGCAGATAGATATGATATATTTTTTTTTGTTAGTGTCATGGAAAAATCATCCTTCATGTCTCCACTAAAAACTTGGAGATATGTTATTAAAACATCATTTAGGGCTGTGTTCGGAATAGCGTGCTAACATACATATGTACTGCACACCATACTGTATCCAAAAATGTAGTGCACTTCACAAAAGTAACATGAGGGACAATTTTGTTTTTCTTGATTTTTTTGCTAGACATTATTTAATCACAAATGTTTCATATGACTTTTTATATGAAAATAGGTCAACTAAATTTTTCCATTTTTCATTATTATTTTAAAATAGTTGCTAGTGAAAGCTTGTTTCTGCCACGAGATGAAAAAATATAAGGTAACTATCACTTTATATCTTACAATTCAGACTTTTTTGTCTCAGAATTCTGAGAAAAATGAAAAAAATTGCAAGATATAAACTCAGAATTGCAAGATGTCAACTTAGAATTGTGAGATATAAACTCCCAATTGCGAGAAAAGTCAGAATTGAATATAAAAGCCACAATTCACTTTTTTATTTTGTGGCGGAAACTAAAAACAACTGCAAGATGTAAACTCGGAATTGTGAATTCAGTCAGAATTCTGAGTTTATATCTCGCAATTCTTTTTTTTTTATATTTATTTTTGGAATTTTTTCCTTTTATTGTGATAGGATAGTTTAGAGTTTACAGGAAGCATATTGGGAGAGGGAGGGGGGCGGGATCGGGAAAGGTCCTCGAGCCGACACACTGCCCACAAGGCTAACAGCGCTGACATATATATCTTGTAGTTCTGAGAAAAAAAAGTCATCATTGTGAGATAACTTCAGAATTACAAGTAAAAAAAAATTTGAGATAAAAAATGCAATAATTTTTTTTTTTATCCTGTGGTGGAAACAAGCTTCCATAGTATACAGATCATATACTACGCAGTAAGTAGTAAGCAAGTATTCCATTCCGAACACAGCCATAGTCATGGCACGGTACCAGATAGCCCCACCCCCTTTAGTGCTCAGGTAACAATTGGTTGCGGTTCTGTATAATATCAGCCCATGGAAAAGTGCAATTATGTTGAGGAAATGTATCGTGTTCACAACTTAAATGTCATGGTTTTGGTTTTGTAAGCAAAGGCAAATGAACAGCACACATTTTAAGAGCCGTTTTCATGCTTTCACCAACTCTTTAAAGCATGAAGTATGTGTACGAAAACGCAACAGTATTATTTTCTCTTTTACAGTACATCGAACTCTTACAAAACCATAAACCAGCGATGAAAGCTAAAAAAAAACATGCTTTTATCAAACATTTAGATATAGACTTGCTTCAGAACACTAACAGCAACAATCTTTTTTTCTATTTTCTTTTTTTTCACCACTGACACAGATACACAGAAAAGTTCTGTCCACATCTCTGCTCAAAACTAGAACTTTTGAAATTACAAGAAACATTGCACGAGCCTAAGGCCAGGAATATACTTTATGCCAGTACGTAAACGCTTGGCCAACGTTTTGCAAGCGTGGACCTAAAGTTCACCCAAAAATTTTTCACCCTCATGTCTTTCCAAACTTTCTCTCTTCTGCAGAACATACAAGAAGTTAGTGTGAACAACGTTGGACTCCAAGCAATATTGGACCCCATTTACCTTCATTTTATGGACAAAAAAAACACGCATTTTTAATTTTTTTTAAATATCTTCTTTTGCGGTCCAAAACAGGTTTGGAATGACGTAAGGGTGAGTAATCATGACAGTGTTTCATTTTTAGGTGGACTGTCCCTTTAAGTTCTTGCTCTAGTGGTAATAAACCTCAAGGGGGCGCTATAATACCTACTAATGTCTGTTGATTTAAAAACAATGGGTCTCATTTATCACTAAGCACTTGTATGCATGTATTTGTGCTTGAAATCTGTGTACGAATGTTTCATGAACAAATCAAGAACTTTCGTACTAAAATTTTATGTAAATTTACGGGAAAAAATTGGAGCAACTGAATCCACATGTATGAAAAAACCAAATACTGGTGGCATTACAATCATGTTAAGATGAAATTAATCATTTTATAATCATGTTAAGATGGATTGTCACCACCTTTCTCCCCGTTACGGATGGCCCTGGCTGAAAGCAATAAAAGAATGTTGAAAAAAAAAAAAAGGTTGTGCGAAAAATACCCTTATATGGAGATGGCTTAGGCGTGTTTTATGCAAATTACTAAATTCAATTGAGGTTGAGAATGCACATAGGCTGTTCTCCTGTACATACAAATGCAAAATATTCCACGCAATTATTAGTGAATAAGACACATTTCATTATTGAAATCAAGCTTGCGTAGCTAGAAGCGTTTGCGTTAACGTACTTGCGTAGAGTGTTTCCAACCTAAAGCTTATACGGTCTGATTTTGCGGTTTAAATCGTTTTTGTTCTTTGCAAAGTTCAGTAAAAATACATATTTTTGGATCCGCCAAACGTTAAACAGGAAAACGAAACGTTAATGTGCAGAATCGAAAGCTGCTTTTATACTCTCGCTCCGCTCTCTGAATCTAAACCGGAGTGGGCTCAGCGAAAGCGTCCAGTAAAGTAGGTCCTTTCGTGTTGTCCGCTAGCGAAACTTCGGGCAGATTGTGAGACATCTCCTTTGGCTGTTCAGCTACGAAACAGCTCCCGTTGGCGTTGTAACTCGTATCCTGTGTATTGTTGTTCAGATAGTTTTGGAATTCCATCTGGCTCAGCTCTCCTGATTGGCTGAGGAAGGTCCCTTTGGATTGGACGCTTTTATCCGGCTCTGAGGCGCAACAGCCAATCACGGCCAAGTGGTGATTGGCATATGGCTGCTCGGGCTGCTGGGAGTAGTCCGTGTATTGGTCAGCGGTCACATTGTAAGGACCCTGAGACATGACCCTACTGGAGTCATTAACCTTGTCTTGATAAGACGCCGTGTCCCCTACGTAGGGCTCACTAGATTGGTTGGCGGAGGCTAAAAGTGTGGGCGGAGTAGCGTTTTCCATTTGGTAGTACTTCGCGGTGGAGTTGATGAAGTAGGAGTTGCCATTAGTTTGGTTGTCGGACGCGACCGTATTCTCAGAGTAACACATCACGGAAGGGGGCGGAGCCACTTCGCTATTGGCCAATCCTGTGTCAAACTCCTCCGTCTTGTCTTCATCCTCATTGTCGTCTTCCTCCTCAGAGTCGCTGTTCGCTAAACTCTGCGTGCTGGAATCGGATAGACTGCACAGACTGCTGCTCTCATCTTCGTCCTCATCGTTCTCATCTTCTTCGTCATCTTCATCCTCTTCCTCATCTTCCTCATCCTCGTCATCTTCTTCCTCCTCCTCCTCCTCCAAGGTGTCGTCCATGTCGTCGCCGGCCTGCAGGTGCATGATGGTGGTCTGCGGGACTGTATCCGGGATTGCGTATTCCAGCGCATGCTGACCTGTCGCCAGCGGGCTGCAGTGACCGTTCGGGTCGCCGTGGAAACCGTTGCCGGTCGGCGCGACGACACCGGAATTCTGCTGCTGCTCGCGGCTCTTCTCGAGTTCCAGCTTCATGATGGTGTGCAGGAAGTGAGTCCGAACTCGGATGGGGTTAAACTCGATTCTGCCGGCCGCGTTGCTGCAGCCCTCTTTTGTGCAGCCGCACGGGAACGACATACGGTCCACCTGTGGACATCCAAGAACACTTGAGCACCGGCCAGTTTTGGATGGTTTGAATTACACACAGCAGGAATGGTCTAAATAAAGCTCCTCGCTCTTCTGAAGGCCTGATGCACTGAGTAAAATTTAACCAGCTGTATCAGTCAGATCTAATCGGTTCTATCAGGGCATACCTCCATTAAACTTTATCTCTGGACATCTTAATCATTTATGCTTGTTAGTCTGCCATGTTAAATTTCCTTGACAGGGTTTGTTTTACTACAGTATGGCGAAGGAGGGCTCTCTTGAGGAATGCAAATCAGCTCCTGATGTGGTTCTAAACTGGGTGAGTTTTATACAACGTGTCACAAACATGTTGGGCTCATAGTTCACCTCAAAATAATAAAAATTGCTCAATAAAGACTTTTTATGACCATTAAAATTGTTTTGCATTATATTCATGACAATTAAGCACATTTGAACACATAAGTGTCATTAGTGTCATGCGATAATTATTTATTTATTTTCCTAAGTTATATAATATAAATACAAATAAACTCATGGATTAAAAAAAATATAAATAATAATGTATACCATTTTAAAAGTAAATTTTTTAAAAATAATTGCTCATATAAAAATAATATAATATAGAATATTTACATTTAAAATATATTTTTTTAAACTGTATGAATGAAATACAGTACAACAAATATGACGACGATGCCTAAATATTTTACAAAGACTGTAAAAATACATTATTTTTAGAATTAGAATCATCACTGACAACTGTAAAAAATTATCTAAAGTAAAATGTTGGTACGGTAATAAAAATTTGGGAGCTTAATAATGGCATAATACAACAAAAAAATGAACATTAATAGTAAATATAAAAATATTTACATAATAAAAATGTAAATGACAAAGTGCATTATTTGAATGCTGATAAAAATAATTTTAGCATGCTATTACCTAAAAGTAATACACACTTATTAAATTTATCATCATTATTGCTTTTTTAAGGTGAAAAGTGACCCAGGTATCTTTTTGTGAGACCAGCCTGAATATTTATTTATTAAATTATGAATTATTATATAAATAATTAACTCACACTAGAATTCCTCTGCAATGATACCATGTTTTGTGTGTAATGTGCGTGTTTGCTGATCATACCTGACACTTGATGCCAGCGAGGCTGCATGTGCAGGTCTCCGGGTCACAGAAGAGTCTGCAGTCGCAGCCACAGTCTTCCCTGGACACCCTGATGGCCCGTAGCTCATGTTTCTCCTCCACATCGAGCTTCTTGACGCCGGATGAGCGCAGCAGAGCGCGCCGCTTCTTAGTGGTCAATGGCTGAAGGAAAAAGTATTCATCCACCTCTGTGTTATCAATATCCAGGTCATCATCAGAGATGTCGTCCAGCGTGAGAGCATTGGCCTCCTCGGACTCCACCGAGCCGTTCTTTGTCAACTGAGGACGATACGAAAGGTGAAATATTAAAGACATTTGCACAGCAATATATGCGTAACAAAAGAATCGTTTGCTTACCCGCAGCCGAATAGAGTTGAGTTTCTCCTCTTTCAGGTGATCTCGGAGCATGTCTCTGTGGATTCTCTCCTGCTCCATGGCGAACTCTCCCAGCGTATACTGCCGCACGCAGCTGTGTCTGCTGGACATGCCCAGCGTACTGCCACCCTGACTGGGCACGCTGGTGAATCCCTGCCTCCGGCTGAAGTAATACACCGTCACCTTCTCAAAGTGCACCCTCCTCGTCCTCATCCGCTTCTCCCGCTTCAGTATCGAGGACGCTAGAAAGACATTAAAGGTAAATAAAATTACAGTTCGGTTATTCAATTTGAAGGACACTGATATGCATCTGTCCAGTAACAGTGCAGTACGTCTGAGCGATTCGTGGACTGGGAAATAGGGCTGAGTGATGCATTAAATATTTACAATATATTTGATTTTATTGACTGTATAAAAGTACTGATATTGTGAATTTCACAATGATTAATGTATATTAAATGTATGCATTTACATGTACATTTATGCATTTGGTAGATGCTTTTATCCAAAGCAACTTTTCCATTCATGGTTTACCTTATCAGTTCATGCATTCCCTGGGAATTGAACCCATGACCTTGACGTTGCTAGCACCATACAATAATGCATATTCAGTACATAGTGGCTTTGATTTAAACCTCCTAACTGAGATTGTTCAGAAGTCTGATTCAACAAATCTGTTCTTTTAGATTTAAACTAATTTATTCAAAATCCTTCTGATTTAACAATTAATTTAACATTGCCTCTGCATGGCATTTTACTTGCTTTAAAATGTGTGTAAAAAAGATGGATGGATGGATGGATGGATGGATAGATAGATAGATTTTTAGGTATTATATTGGTGGATAAGAATAAAAAAAAAAACAATGTAGTGAAAAACAGTCAGAAACACTCCTGTTTACTTTTAAAAGAAGTGTCTTATGCTGCCCAAGGCTTTACATATTTGATAAAAATACATTAAAAACAGTAATATTGTGAAATATTATTACAATTTAAAATAATTGGTTTCTATGTGAATATTTTTTTAAATGTAATTTATTCCTGTGATCAAAGCTGAATTTTCAGCATCATTACTCCAGTCTTCAGTGTCACATGATCCTTCAGAAATCATTCTAATATGTTGATTTGCTGCTCAGGAAACATTTCGGATTATTATCAATGTTGAAAACAGTTGTGCTGCTTCATATTTTTATGGAAACCTTGATACATTTTTCAGGATTCTTTGATGAATAGAGAGAAGAAAAAAAAACAGCATTTATTTGAAATGGAAATCTTTTGTCAGTAGTGTTTACTTATTAAAATATTGAAATATAGTCTTTGTAAGCTATGTCATGCAGCTGTATTAGTAAGCTATCCTCCTCAGTGCGCCTCTAGCGGCTCCTTCAGTTCTCTGCACGCCACCGGCTCCTATTGTTTGGCTATTTAAAGGGGGATGGTAAATATACCCTGTATAAATATCCCCAGTTTTGGCCTCCACAAGAGTGGAGTTTCCCTGATACTCTCTCCCACAGCTCCCTTCATGTCTGACACAAACAGGACAAATAAGAACCATCTGCTGCTGCCGGTCAACCGCCCAGAACCACCAGCAGAATACATTACACACACACACATGAATGTGTGCACTGCACTTAACCCAGTCTGACTCAGGAACTCCAGCAGAACTGAAGCACAGCCATTCACTGCAAACAGAGCTTTCTAAGTACAGGGGCTCAGTGTGGAAGAAGAATTAGGTGTGAGTGATATGTATCTTGTTTAAAAGTCTTTTTTCTTTGGACATGCACATGAAAAGGTGAATCTCAAAAAAAGATTTTTTTCTAGTATTTACCTAGTTCTGAGAATAAAAAAAAAAATCAGAATTGCGAGATTTAAACCTGGGAATTCTGATGAAAAAAGTCAGAATTGTGAGCTGTAAGTTCAGAATTCTGAAAAAAAGATTCAAAAATTGCATGATATAAAATCAGAATTCCGAGGGAAAAAAAGTATGAATTGTGAGATATAAACTCACAACTGTGAGAAGAAAGTCTGAATAGTGAGATAAAGTCATATTTAAATATACTCTGTTGCAGAAGTAAGCTTCCATAAATTTCACCCCTAAAATAAAATGAGAAAAATAATACAATTTATTCTGCATAAAGAAACTGATGCTGGTTTTGAAAAAACAACAACTTTATTTTCATTATTTTCATGTTAATTAAGTAGTTTTTCCACCCAAATTCTCATTAATGAATCTAAATGTTTTACTTTTGTATTTTCTTTGTGCTTCTCGTTATTCTCAGTGGTGATTCTCATTCGATTCTCATTACTGTAATTAAGTAACTTTAAGAAAACAATGTCTCAATGCAAAAAAAGTCCTAAAATAGGCTTCAGTTTATGTGCAAAATATAATAAGGATGCAATATTTTTCAAATAAATGCTGTTTTTTTATAACTTTATATTGATCCTATATAATATTCTATAGAAAAAAGTTTTTTTTCTATAAAAGAAATGTTTCTTGAGCAGCAAATCAGCATATTAGAATGATTTCTGAAGGATCATGTGACACTGAAGACCGGAGTAATGATCACAGGAATATATATAAAAAAAAATATTCAAATAGAATACAGCTATTTTGAATTTTAACAATATTTCACAGTATATTCTTGTTTTTACTGTTTTTTTTTTCTTTACTCAAATAAATGCAGCCTTAATGAGCATAAGAGACTTATTTCAAAATCATTAAAAAAATCTTACCGACCTCAAACTTTTGAATGGGTTGCAATATCATGTGCATACCTAGGTATATGAATATGGCAATCATTATCATACCATGTGTAATGCCCTCAGATGCGCCACAGGGTTTGCATCTAACAGTCACTGGCTATTCATCATGTTTACTTTGCTGAAAATAGTTCCAAGAATCCAGCTCAGCAGGTTGATCTGAATGTCAGTAATTTACGATTATGAGCTACATTTCCCATCACCTCTCTCTGAAGCTGTGCTGAAAGAGCAGCGCTTTCTAAAGGAGGAAACAGACGTCCTCTGGGACTCGCTGCACCGTGGGTCATCCGCAGACATCTGGCGCACATTTTTAATGACAGAATCAAAGTGAATGAGCGTCACAAAAGAGAGGTGATGGAGAACTGAGAGCTGAAGAGGGTCAACTGCCCCCCTTTATTGGGCGTTAATTCATCTCTATTTATTTTAGAAGTTGCTGACAAAAAAGCTTCCCAAATACTGCATCTTTCTAGAAATGATGACTGATGCTTTTCAGGTGAACTGCTCTTCAGCTTATCATGAAGTCAAATGCGGGCTCATGCGCACTTCAGCTTCTTAGCGGCATGAGGCCAGATGTTTTACGTTCATTGCGATGATGGATATTTTCTCAAGCCCCCTTCAGACAAGCGTGATGACGATCAATATCAAATCTCAGTGATGAATTTTCCTTTCAAAGGGCCATTTTCTCTTTTCTGCTACCAATTTCGAGCTAGTGTTTTCCCTGAGGACATTCTCTGGGAAACGGTATTTCCCATCTTCTTTCTCATATACCCACAATTCAGTGCTTTAAAGGAACGACACAACAATTTTGTGCCAGCTGTCATTAGTTTTAAAGGAACAGCTTACCAAAAAGTAAAAGTGTTTACTTTCATGTTATTTGTTTTCACATGTGGAATGGAATGTTGGAATGTTGTGATTTTTTTCCCTTTTATGTTCAACAGAAAAAATAACAGAATACATTTTTTGGGGACTATGTGACAGTGAGTAAATAATGACAAAATTACACATTAGGTAAACTACTACTTAAACATCAGAGACATGTTTTGCATTAATTCTTAGTTTTAAGACCTGGCAGCTTTTCTCTTTATGAGTATAAATACAAAATATAAACTCAATTCTGAGATAAAAATTCTAAATTGTGAGTTCTTTTTTTTTTATTCTGACTTTTCTTCTCGGATTTGCAAGTTATTCTTAACTCGAAATTCTAAGTTTATATATATCTTCCAATTGTGGAAAAAAGACAGAACTGTGAGAAAAAAGTCAGAATCGTGAGATAAAAAATCGCAATTACACTTTTTTTAGTCCTGTGGCAGAAACAAGTTTCCATAAGTAACTTAAATCAGAGCAGACTGTCTTAAAGTTGTGGCATAAACATTGAATGCATTGCACAAATTTTTGTTTTCTAATACAAATATCTAAAACATCCTTAAATCAAGATACATTATATTGGAGATGCAAATGTAAAGTGAAGTCTTTTAAATTTGAACAAAGATTATGATTATTAAGATTATGCTTAAAACAAGAACAAATATCTGTCAATGGGGAATAAAACATTTTTTAGTTTTAGTTTTTTAGTTATATTAAGTGAATTTTTCTGAGCCCAATGGCAGATATTTGTTCTGGTTTTAATCATAAACTCACTAGGGTTGTGACGGTGAGGAAATTTTCCCACCGGTTAATCGACGTGTGACAACACCGGTAATACCGGTATCACTGCGGGGGTGTTCCCTCTTTTCCTCGCTTTCCTTCGCTTTTAAATAGCTTGTAAAAGCGGCGTGCGCATTTTACTTTCACTTTCAAATAGCGGCAATTCGGAGTAAAGCAATTGTTCGTTTTTAGTTCGTTTGAATTTTCCCGTAGTGTCTGTTCTTTTACTGAACTAAATGATTTTTATTACTATAAAAAATCAAAACGACGGTGGGAGTCGGTGACGCGGTGGGCAAGTGACGTAACCGGTGTTGCAGCTTAACACCGGTATCACCGTCAGCACCGTCTATCGCGGCAAGCCTAAAACTCACTTAATTTTGATCCATTAAACAAGACCTCTTATTTGATGTCATTTTAGCAATTTACATTTATAGACCATATTTATGCATTATGTTAAAAAAAATTTTTTGACAAAAAAAAAGCCTGTTATTCTTTCATTTAGATATTTGATCTGTAATAATGCTGGATTGTCACAGATTTCTGAATATTTCGTTTGATATGAGTCTCACCTGTCCGCTGCAGTGCGTGTGTTGAGGATGAGGATGATGCTGTTGAAGGATGGCTGAAGTGCGAGGCTGACGGGTTGACGCTGTCGCTGCTGTCTCCGCTCTCAGTGCTGGATATCTCCTCCTCCTCAGACTCCCTCAGTGAGGAGCAGGGTGACGCCCCCTCCACCTCCTCAAACTTCCTCTTCAGAATTCCACTCATGGCTGCCGTCAGGCTGCACCAGACAGAGAGTGCAAGTAAAAATCCCATTCATTTCAATGACATATTGTGTTATTCCAGTGATACGTGCATTTGGATGAGACATGTTTCAGTCAGTGTGATTTCAACTACATTTCCAGAAAATTGTATTTACTAATAATCCTGGAAAGAGACTCACTGATCAAGTCACTGTTACTATAACATTACACATCCATATGTGACTTTACACTTCCATAAACCATGCAAATGATGTAATCAAGTCTCCCCGAACTCCCCTATTTTTTACATTTTATTTATTGTTTTAATATTTATATTTTTTATTTTATTGCAGAATATTCAGATATAAATAAATATATGCGGGTAAAATTAAATTTACAAAAGTGATTTTATATACATAGAAAGCATATTAAATGCAAGTAAAGTATCTACTTTAATATTTAAAATAACTTTTGTGAAAATGAAATGTCAATGATATGGGTCCATCATCATTGAGCATAACAGATATATTTAGGTAAAAATTAAATAACATACTTATTCTGACCTGTACTTATTAGAATATATAACAGAAAAAGTGATCATACTACATTTTATTATATTTTAAATTATTAAAAATTACCTGCTGACAAATGGGTAAAACCTAGTGATTTGAAGAATAGTGGCAAAGATTAAAATTACAGTTAATTAGTTTTTAGGGACTGCACTGTGATCCTTAAATAGAGTTTTTTTTATGTAATCTACTGATTGTTGTTCTAAAAATACATGACAAGAATTTCTTGTATGTAAACTATTGTTACACTCGATGATATTCTAATGGGTGTTTTGTAAATCACAGTAAAAATGTATGACAGTCATTATTTTTGGTCAGAAAAATACAATGAAACAGGAAACATTCTAATGTACAGGGGGTTGGGGGGGGGGATTGTATTATACTTTTACTGTTGCGAATTTTGAAAACCCCATTTCATCTTTGACCCATGAATATTCTCCAACTAAATTGATTATTAATATATTAATTATAAATTAAATATTACATGAATAAATAAAATATAATTAGAATATATATTTTGTACCCATTATAACTGATTATAAATATTATATAATATATACAACTTATTATAATTCTTATAAATGTGACCCTGGAGCACAAAACCAGTCTTAAGTCGCTGGGGTGTATTTGTAGCAAAAGCCAACAATACATTGTATGGGTCAAAATGATCGATTTTTCTTTTATGCCAAAAATCATTAGGATATTAAGTAAAGATCATGTACCATAAAGATATTTTGTACATTTCCAACTGTAAATATATAAATTTTTGATTAGTAATATTCATTGCTAAGAACTTCATTTGGACAACTCTAAAGGTGATTTTCTCAATATTTAGATTTTTTTGCTCCCTCAGATTTTCAAACAGTTATATCGCGACCAAATATTGTCCTATATATATATATATATACAGTGGGTACGGAAAGTATTCAGACCCCCTTAAATTTTTCACTCTTTGTTATATTGCAGCCATTTGTAAAATTCAAAAATATGTCAAATTTCTGACTCTAATCCACCATTTCGTATGCTACAGTAGGAAGATTCCCACATGAAAGACTTTTTGGTGTTTTCACACACTTTTTGCTTCAAATAAAACTCTATAATGTAATTCGTCTCAGAGCTGGTTTGAGATATGGAGAAAATAAATGGGGAAAATATACTTCCAGAACCCAGGCCACTGAAGAAGTGGTCAGCCGTTGTTGCTCTATATCAAACTTATACTCGCTGCGATCCTCAAAGCACTCAATTAGTGATAAGCGTTAGAGCACACATCCTCCTTTCCTTTCCTGTCCTCCTCCTCACTGCCATTGATCACCAGGCCTCACAGGACCCCAGATGGAAGCAGAGGGGAAAAAAAAAAACTACTTATTGAATTCTACCTCAACCTTCCAGGAAGTCCATTTTGTCTGTGTTTGACTGAGTGTCTTCAGGAAAGAAAACAAATAGGAAACTTGAGATGAGTTTTCAGAGTTGCACTCATAAAGCGGCTACCTCAGCTTCAGGAATGTATTAATCAAAGTACAAGGACACAGCATGACTGAAAATAACACGAAATTTTGACTCCAGGGTTGCCAGTTGGTGGAAAACACAGCGTATTGTAGCCATGGAAGCCAGCAAACGAACTGAGTCACGAACGCAGATTCTACCAGACTCAAAAAATCTTGGCATCCAACTAAAAAGCTATGTGAGCAGAGAAATATTAAAACGCAGATAAATCTACTCATCAACTTACAGTAGAAGACTCATCCCCTTCTACTATCAGTTGACCCTTCGCAAAGACCCGCCCCCCTTAGTTACTGTTGCTATGTTTGACAAGCCATGCCGCTCTCACGCCACACATCATGTTCTCATACAGTCACAAACACATCGCGGAGCAAAGAGGACACTGACAATGAGCCAACAGACAAGACAGAGCAGGTTACTTTAGGTATGAATCAAAGTCTCAGCTTTCAAATTTTGTCATTTTTTTAAAGATATTCAAACAATAATACCATTTTCGTGTCGTGACAGATCGCCGCAGCGCCTCAGTTCAAGCGGCACGTGAACCGATCATCTCTTCCTTTTTACTATTTATAGCATGAAATAAACATGAGAAGGTATTTTATTTCAACCGCGGAAAAACGTCATTACACACAGTTTTTCAAGTTCAAGCCTACCGATGGTAACCTATTCTCCTGTCAACTCACCTGTCAGTCAAACTCCCTGTGGAGGGTCAGTTGTACTCATTCCTTTTGCTTGTCCTCAATCTGGCAACCCGTCTGAGGATGAGGGGCAGGAGAAACAACTCTCTCCAATATTTTGAATTTGGACTGCAGTACCCATTTCAACCTCTAGCTGCCAATATTACATACTGCACAGAAACAGCCGAGAATCTAGCATAGCACATACTGAAAATATTCAACCACTCAGAACATTATAGCAACCACATAGCAATGCCCTGTCAACCATCCACAGCATGGTGAGTTTTGCACAGGTAAGCACCACTTTCATTGTCTTTATAAAATGTGAAAATCTAGTTTTCTGCTCTGGCGTGTAATAAACCTGTTCCTGCTGTGTTGAGCCTGTTGGATTGGACAGATTTCACACAGATTCCCTAAACCTGCAGCAGCAGCACATCCTGACAGTATCTTTTCCCTCCCGTCTCCTGCTTATTTCTGTAGCTAGAATTGAGCCAGCGATGAGAAGAGTGAAAAAAGAGACATGCACACACATACACACAACAGAGAAAGCAGTGCGCCAGAGTCTGGAGAGAGAGAGAGAGAGGAAGGCTGGCTGGCAGCCTCATTACTGAAGGAGGGAATGTGTTGTTTCACACTGCAAGCCTCACAGAGCCATCGGATGACTACTGAAGCCCAGCAGAGCTGCTGATCAACTGAGATTTTGGAGGTAGGGGAACAATAAAATCTGATGGCGATTACATGATGCCCCATCCTCAAAAAAATACAAATAAATAAAAGTGAAAAAATAAATAATATATAATAAACATAACAGCTACTTATTGTTAAAATTAGAAACACCGAAACTGACACAATGAAAACGAAAATAAAATTTTATTATTTTATAACCGAATAATTAATCACAATGCATATACACATTTAATTTGCATGTAAAGCAGTTTTTATATTTACTTTTTAATGATATAATTACCCTATATTTCTAGTCTAGTTGGTTGCTGAAATATAAACATTTAAACGTTGATGATGATAAACACGTTTTCATGACACATTTATTCAAACATACATTAGAAATTAAAAACAACTGGTAAAAAATATAATGAATATAGTGCACATATTGTACAAAATGCTGCTCTCTGGACTCGAGTTTATGGATATTGAAGAGCTTTCCTGAGGTAGTATGATACGGTCAGATTTCACATCTTCCGTTTAAAAACTTTTGGCCTTATCTGCCTTCCATATTTACAAGCTGTTTTGTTGACGTGTTTCCACGGTAGAAACACGGATTGAGCGATTACACGAGGCATGAAACATTTCAGTAAGTTATTCATTTTCTTTCATCATACATACCTTTTGATGTTCATATATGTTTATTTCTTGTTTTAACTAGCAATATAGCGGAAGCGATGATCGGATCACTTGCCGCTTGAATTGAGGCAAATACAGCAATCTGTCGCGACACATTATAGAGCGCCAAAACCACATTTATTGTTTGAATATCGTGATAAAATTGACACAATTTGAAAGCTCAGACATTGTTTCATATTAAAATTCAAATCAAAACGCAAAGTTTAATGCGAATATTGGATGGTAAGGGTGTTACACGTTGAGTGAAGTTTTGTTCACTCATCAACTGAAAATTATTATTTTTAAATATCGAGAAACTAAACTTAAAGGCTGCGTTTATTTGATCAAAAATACAGTAAAAACAGTAATACTGTGAAATATATGTAACTGTTCTATATTTCAGCAGCCATTACCCCAGCTAACAAAATATTCTAAGAACGTGGTAACACTTCTGTTAAGTTATGAAATGTTATTTCTAATGTTTTCTGAATGTTCAAAACATCCACCTTTTTAAATGTTTTTTTTAAATTGTACATTCCATTTCAGTATTTTGCAAACATTATGGGATTGTTACTTTTGAATGTTCTCTGAACATTCTATAAAAATATTAACATAAAAAAAATGTTAGATGAACATACAAATAAATTGTTTCAGAATGGTTAAATGTATAAATGGTTTTGTGTGTAACATTTTGAGAACATTATTTAAGACCAGATAACTGAACAAACATTCTAGTAACATTATGGAACTGGAACTTAAAAAAAAAAAAAAACTTAAATGAAACATGCATACCGTTAATGTTCATAACCTTGCCAGACACATTTCCTGTTAGCTGGGACTCTAGTCTTAAGTGTTACATGATCTGTCAGAAATCATACTAATATGCTGATTTGCTGCTTGAAACATTTCTTATTATTATCAATGATCAGTTGTGCTAATAAATGTTGTTTGCGAAAACTGTGATGCTTTTTACAGGATTATTTGATGAAAAACAAAACTAAACAAGAGATGTTGGATCGGATCATTTTTAGCTTTGGTTAACATGATATATGAAATATGACTAAAATGCATTAATAAAATACATGGCATCGAAGGATTCTGCAGCAGAATGCAATCTCGCATAACACCGGAACATTGTTCCTGCTCGTTCCGGCCCAGTTGAACCCCTGGGCAAGACCAGCCTCAGCCCGCACGGGCTGCATGGGTCTCAGCTGAGGCCCATTGTTTCTGTGTGTGTGTGTGAGTGTGTGTGTGGTGAACACAGCAGCTGGAGAGCCTCCAAACCACAGCAGCGCTGCGGAATGTGTCTCCTATAAGGACAGAACACGGCTCTGTTCTCCACAGACACACTCAAAGCACCTACTCTCAACCTCTGGAGCAACTGAATCCACAGAAAACTGTACTACAGTATGCCCTACAAGGACACTAGGTTACCTTTAAAGGAACACTCCACTATTTTTGAAAATAGGCTCATTTTCCAACTCCCCCAGAAATAAACAGTTGAGTTTTACTGTTTTCGAATCCATTCAGCCGATCTCCAGGTCTGGCGGTAGCACTTTTAGCTGTAGCTTAGCATAGATCATTGAATCTGATTAGACCGTTAGCATCTCGCTCAAAAATGACCAAAGAGTTTCTATATTTTTCCTATTTCAGCATCCCAGTAGTTGTCTTGAATCTATTGATTCCAATAGGCAAATGTAATCTACCCACCAGGGTAGTTTACATTTATGCATTTTGGAACAGACACTTTTAGTTTTATCCAAACCAACATATAGTGCATTCAAACAAGGTACACATTTTATAAATTCTTGTTTTACCTGGGAATCAGACTCATGGCCTTGGTGTTAAAGGGATACTCCACCCCAAAATTAAAATGTTGTCATTAATCACTTACCCCCATGTCGTTCCAAACCCATAAAAGCTTCGTTCGTCCTCGGAACACAATTTAAGATATTATGGATGAAAACCGGGAGGCTTGTGACTGTCCCATTGACTGCCAAGTAAATAACACTGTCAAGGCCCAGAAAAGTATGAAAGACATCGTCAGAATAGTCCATCTGCCATCAGTGGTTCAACCGTAACGTTATTCCACCCCAAAATTAAAATGTTGTCATTAATCACTTACCCCCATGTCGTTCCAAACCCATAAAAGCTTCGTTCGTCCTCGGAACACAATTTAAGATATTATGGATGAAAACCGGGAGGCTTGTGACTGTCCCATTGACTGCCAAGTAAATAACACTGTCAAGGCCCAGAAAAGTATGAAAGACATCGTCAAAATAGTCCATCTGCCATCAGCGGTTTTCATCCAAAATATCTTAAATTGTGTTCCGAAGATGAACGAAGCTTTTACGGGTTTGGAACAACATGGGGGTAAGTGATTAACTCTTTCCCCACCATTGACGAGTTATCTCATCTTTTAAAAGAAAACACTTCCCCGCCAAAGACGAGTTTTTACGGCTTTTCGTGTTTTCACTGTTATACACTCGGTGGCGCACATCTTCTGAACGAGTACAAAACCTCCCGAACAAAAACACACGTGAGTGTTACACTAGAATAAAACTGATTTTTTTTGTTTAAAAGTGATCTTTATCTTTTGATCTGATCTTTATTTTGGTGTATTGCATATTCAAATATTCATACAGCAAAATATACTGTATATATATATATAGTTTAACTTGATGTACTAAAGTAACTAAAAATGCAATAAAGTTTAACAAAAAATATGTAAAAATAAACACACAACAAAATTAGTAGAACTTTAACTAAAATGAAAATGTAAAATAAAAAAATAAAGCATAATATTAACAAAAAACTATACCAGTATCTCAGTGATACTAAAACAATGGTTCCCACAGTTTTTAACCAATGAATTCTCATGAGTTCTTTTGAAGAAGAAAGACTGAAATAGTATTTTCTTGTAAAACTTGCTCCAATAATCTTGGTTTTATTTACAACTTCGAAAAAATAACTTTTTAAAGTGCGGATAAGGGTTTTAAAGTAACCATCTAGACTGATTTCTATTTGTATATCGGGTGGCACTTTTGAATTATCTGAAGTTATTGATTAGTGCACAACTGTAGAGAGAGATGCAAGTTTGACTATTGCTCAAAAAAACCTTAAACCAGCGTATTGAACTTTGCTGCATAACATAGTGAACACCGGTTGTGATTCTGACATGATACCTGAAATTACTGTGTAATTGTGTTTTTTAATTCAATTAGATTTAGCCATCTTGTCTGCTAGATGTTAAAACCGAAGAAAAAATGGTTTTGAGAATAATAAGAATGCTAACTGTTATCTTTTCTTTTTTTTTCCATTATAGACTTTCTAAGCTTTCAAGGACTGCATGGAGAAACATCGTTCCTGAAAGCACCAGAAATTCCCTTGATCTAAGCCCCAGATCTGTTTGAATCCCGCTGATCCCGCAGCAGTCCGGCGAGATGCGGGAGGTTCGCAATAATTGGAAATGGCTTCTCTAGTTTTGGAGACACAATGTAAGTCAATTTTCTCGTAATCACCATAATTAGTTCCCCTTGTTGAAAATCCATTCGCATTTTCCGTCCTCAGCGGATGCTGTGCTACTCTGCGATTCCCAAAGCGGTTGCCATGGAGACGCTAATACACTCGCACAAATAGTGACACATTTGAGAGTCATTTCACTTTTTTTCATTTGTGGGGCATCTACCGCGCACACACACACACACACACACATCCAAGATTAAAAAATAAACGCTCATGCAATAGCGCATCTGTAATCAGAGGGAATTTACTGGTGAAATGACTGTGAAAAAAATCATTTAGGAATACGATTCGGGTTTGCACGTACGCTGCAAAATTTCATGACATTATTATTGTATTTTCTTACAGCAGATGCGACTTGCAGCTTTAAAGCGGCCGATGTTGAGGATCCCACGCTCACGACCGAGACTACAGCCAGAGGAGCAACTTTTCCCATTTCTTGACACAATGAATGGGCATGACATCTCCGGCTGGTTAACCCGAGGTAACCGGAGCTGACTGCTGTACTAGTTATTTCTCCTCTACATCTCTAGCACTCACTCCCTCTCTCTCTCTCCCTTTGTCTTCTCTTAGCTGCTGTAGTTTTCCACAGCACACTTGCAGCATGTTACAAGTAAAAATCCTGCAGCAAAAGCCAGCAGAGACAAAAACAGCCACTCCCCGGAGGAGCTCTGTACAATACGGACATACACATGTACAAATGCACATGTACTTCAGCGTTGTCAATGCAGCACTGACAACCTACAGCGATCAATACTTCTTGGCACCAGATGCTGAGCGGTATGAGGAGACCTATAGTGGGTTGGGCAGGATGACCACAATCTTATATCACGATGTGACAAATGCTATATCACACTAACTGCATATAAGAATATAGTCCTTTTTTCTTCAAATTCAAATTCAACAGAAAAAGATTAATTATGTATTAATGCAATCCTGATGTAATACGTCATTTGGGATAATCCATATTTAACACATTTAATTATTTTACAAAAAAGGTTTATATATTAATACAGTAATGTGGTAATATTAAATAAAATAAAAAAGGTTTATTTATTTAATACAATCATGTCTGATTGGCATAATTTATATTTTATATATTTAATTAATATGTAAAATAAAAGTTTGTATATTAATATAATCATGTGGAAATGCGTATTTTGGGATAATCTATCTTTAACACATTTAATGATGTTTTTATAAAGGTTTATATTTCAATACAGTAATGTGGCAATATTTATTACATTTAAACTAAAATAAAGGTTTTTATATTAATGCAGTCATGTATTAATGCATATTTTGGCATAATTTATTTCATATATTTAATTAATCTGTAAAATAAAGATTTATATATTAATACAATCATGTGGTATTATCTATTTTGGAATAATCCATATTTGTTATATTTAATTAATCTATATAAAAGGTTTATATATTAATATAATCTTGTGGAAAAGTATATTTTGGGATAATCTATATTTAATATATTTGATTTATCTATGAAAAAAGTTTAAATATTATTACAATCATGTGTTAATACCTGTTTTGGGATAATATATATTTAATCTATAAAAAAAATTGTACATTAAAACAACTATGTGATAATACACATTTTAGGATAATCTATATATTATATATATATATATATATATATATATATATATACATATATATAT